AGTAGTAGAGAGAGAGAGGAGAGAGAGAGAGAGAGAGAGAGAGAGAGAGAGAGAGAGTGAGTTGTGAGGTGCCAGCGTGTGAGTTTTGTCTGATTCAGTACATTTTGACAACGAATAAGATAAACGAGAGAAATCATAGCTCTGCAGATCTTTGTCTTGCAATTGAGTGTGTTATATGGCTTTTAGAGATGACAGCCAATCAGAAAATTTGTTCAAATTCAGGAGGATCAATCAATGCGCATATATAATCATTCCCCCAAAAATATATCGTCAAATTAAAATATAAGATCCCTTCGAAACGAACCTTAACGAGATAGATATTAAAGAAAAATCGTCTAATAGAGGAATAAAAGACAGATATTTGTTATTTCTCGAAAGGAATATCGAATCGAATAAAAAAATTGCTTTACAAACTATTCAAATTTTCTTATGATAAACCTATTGACGCGTGCTCTCGTGAATTTTGATGATTTTGAAATATGCTATAGAGGACAAGATTTTAAATAACTTTTTCCTACGCATAATCGATAATTGATTTTTAATTTTCCAAACTTTTGCAAAAAATGCTTGCTACATTAAAATTTAGACGTATCTGTCGAGAGCTTAGACATTCCAAAGTGCGAAAATAAAATAATAAAACAATAGTAGTAACAACATTTTTTTTGCATTAAAAATTAAATATCAATAATTTTTAAATACGATAAAAAATTATTCAAAATTCTTCTATATAACGCATTTAAAAATCATCAAAATTGCAAAGGCATCATCGATAGATAGATCATTTTTCTAACATAAAAATTCATCGTTCAAGAATTCACGAATTATTCACAAATTTGAAGGAAACGATCGTTAAAGTATTCGAATTTTGTAACTCGTTTTATCGAGAGAAGCTTTGCCAAAGAACGATACATGATCGAGAAATGGTAACAAGCGACGCGAACGTCGAAGATGAACGTGAAGCAATGGCGAAGCTTGTTATTTTTCGCTTATCAGTTCTTACCCTTGGGAAGACTCGCTACAAACGGACGAATCTTTTCTGTAGGGACGATCTGCCTCGCTCTCGGACATCCTCATGTCCTCGGATCCGCTTGGACTTCTGTTTCGCGCCGAGTGCCGTTCCAACTGTTTGATCAAATCCTCTAGATTTCGTATACGAATCACACCGCAAGACGGCACGTATTCCTCGTACTCCTCGTCCGCTTGGTTGTCGATATGCTTTATGATGTCTTTGCGATACGAATCCGTGGGATAACATTCTGGCAGAGGTTCTGTTAATAATTCGGTCAGAGGTTCCGTCAAGGCCTCGTCGTCCATTGGAGCGGATGTTGTTCCAGATGTTTCGCGTTGATTCGCGGCCATCCTCAACGCCTCGATAATATGCTCGTGGTAACCGTTCAGTTGATCCAAAGTGCGTTCCACGCTGGCTACCGCCCCTCCTCCCATACCTGGTTCAATTAATCATCGTTCCAATTAATGATCGATATTTTTGCGTTCTTCGTCTAAAATGTATCTAAGGTTAAATACGTTTGTAAGTATGGTCGATGCAAGTAGCTCGATTATTTTTTACACGGTGATTCTGAATAGAGTGCTCGATCGATAAATCAGATTTTCTCGACGCTTGTCATTTTGTGATTCGATATAAAGTATTTTGTATTAAGTGATATAAATATTTACGATGGAAAGATTTGGTAGAGAACTTCGGAAATTTTGTGTTTTCTTTTTCGATTCTTTTTTTTATATAATGATAACGAGAAATTTTAGAAGATTTGATAGATACGATTCACGTACTCGATCGATAAATCAGCATTTCTCAGTTCTTTGTCACTTAATATGTAAATTTGTAATGATATTGCAACTTAAATGTTTATAATGAAAAAATTTTGCAAGATTTTTGAAGACGATTTTGATCGATAAATTGGTTTTTTATTCCAACATTTTTTTGTAACGTTAGCGCGAAATTTTGAAAGATTTGATAAAAATAATTTTATACTCGATCGATAAATCAGAGTTTCTCTTTTTATCACGTGATCGAAAGTTTATATTGGTATCGCGATCTAAATGTTTATAACGAAAAAAATTTGATAGATTGGAATCACTATATATTATAAATAGACAGAATAATGCATAATGGATTGAAAAATATTAAATTAAATTTTTTTTACAATTTCCTCGACAAATATTCGGTTGTATTAATCGACTAGAATCCTAGAAATTCGAGCTCGTTGCATTCCCCTTTACGAGTGAGTTATTGCCCCACTTATTCGTATAGGTTCATCAACCATTACAATACCATAACCACCGTGTTTCTTTAAAATTCCTTTCTCGGGCAACTTTGTGAGGTTGTTCGGCAAATCGATGAAAGAGACAACCTCGTCCGCTCCTGTATCTCCATCTTCCTCGCTCATACCTGGCCTCTTCACCTGCGACTTATGCTCCCTGAAAATTTCAATGTAAAACAACATTTGGTCTCCCCTGTCAAACCCGATAAATCCGATTCGAATTAATTCATAGACAAAACATTCACAGGTATCCCTTTTTCCTTACTTATCGATCGAGATATATCTTCAATATCTTATCGCGGTACACCACCTTTGAACGTTAAGCCTTTGCCATAATTGACCATATTACACGTTGCACGTTTTGTCTTTGTAAAAATACCCATTTTTTTTTTTTTTCCCTCGTACTCGGGAAAGGCTCTCTTTAAACCGGTGCAGTCTCGTAGCTATAGTCACGTTCGTGTTCGTGCCTCACTTCCAATCGAGATTATCAATTAAAACGTGACACGAACGCGAACACGACAACACTTCGTATCTTTTCCTTTGACTCTGGTTAAACGCGGAGAATTTTGACAAGATGCACACGCGTTTTTC